CCCAACCCCCCAAACCCCCCCCCCAACTATTACCTCGATGATGATACCCAGATATATTAGTGGTGGAGCCACGTATAACTAAGAGAATTCATTGAGTCCGAAATCTACAAATTATTTTGTGTGTGTGTACGTGGATGTCCTTGAAATTATAAGAAAACTATACTCTCCCCTGTTCAAAATAAGTGATTTTTAAGGATGTTTTCACACAAATTAAGAAATCCACCTTTTAGCATTAATTAGCAATAAAATTGACCATATTAACCTTTACTATCTCACATAAACAGTGTTACCACATATTCCAACACCATTTACTTCAAGGACAATGTAGGAAAAAAATAATTAATTCATTCTTGAAATCTGAAAAAATCACTTATTTTGGACCACAAGAAAAAGGCCAAAAAATCACTTATTTTGGACCGGAGGGAGTACTATAGTGTCAAAGGTGATTCAAAAATATTAAATGCGATATTTTTACTCCTTTCGTTCCAGTTTATGTGAATCTATTTTTTTTCTGGTCTGTTTCAAAAAGAATGAACCCTTTCTAAATTTGAAAATAATTTAGCTTAAACTTCCAATTATCCCCTTAATGAAAAACTTTTATAACCACACAAATACTTTGGACCCCTTTTTGACTTGTTTAGAACCACAAATTCCAAAAGTCTTCATTTTTTTTTAAACTCCGTGCCCAATCAAACAGGTTCACATTGTTTTATCCTTTTAGAAAGTTTTTGTTCTACCACAGCTTAATACATGATTTTGTTGGAGAAATGTTTGCATTCACACTAATTAACCATCAAATCAGGATAAATTTTTTACCCCACGGTTTCCCCAATTCAACATGCAAAGCGTCATATAGTACTCTTTTCACCATCAAATTGCTGTCATTCTAGTATTTGGCATACTTTTGTTAAGATTCGAGAATGCGTGTGCGTCTTTAGTACTTTTGGCATCAAAATTAACCTTTGCATTTTTATAAAATTAATTACCACTTTAATGTAGTATTATATATTTAATGCTTGCAATAATTACAAAGTTTGAATATAGTAAAATCTCTCTGTATAAAAGAAGAAAATTCTTTAAATTGCGGGCAAGAACACACTTCATTCCCCACATTTCCATAAATAGTACTCCCTCCGTTCCAATTTATGTGAACCTGTTTGATTGGACACGGAGTTTAAGAAAAAAATGAAGACTTTTGGAATTTGTGGTCCTTAACAAGTCCAAATGGGGCCCAGAGTATTTATGTGGTTATAAAAGCTTCTCATTAAGGGTAGAGTTGTAACTTTAAGCTAAATTGTTATCAAATTTAGAAATGATTAGATTTTTTTTGAAACGGACTAAAAAGAAAATAGGTTCGTGTAATAGAGGGAGTATGTATTTATTTTTTGAATTTAACCCTCCTCCCTCTTACGCAACCTCCCCCTCCCCCCTTCACCCCCCCACCTCCACATTGTTTTTAAACCAAGATTCAGAAAATCTCTGTCCGAGAGACAAATTTGTTACATTTGTTGCCTGTTTTCCGCGTTAAATCACATAAAGCTAAACGATTACCTCCAATTATAAAAACAAAACCTTTACATTTTCAATACTTACTCCATCACTATTAGTCAGTCCCATTGTTTTTTCTTTCTTGCTCTCTCTAGTCCCCAAGATTTGTGTGGTGACAGCAGAGAGAGCTTGAAAGTGAGAGCCATGGCGAAGGTTTTCATGTGGTTTTTGGGTGTTATTTTTGTGCTTAGCAAATTAGTAGATTCTTATGAATTTGAAGAATTCTTTTTCAATAAAACCGAAGGGGTATTCTTGGAGTCTGTATATGAAGCTGCTGCAGCTGGTGGTCCAACTCCTCTTATGGTTGGTCTTACACTCATTCATGGTGCTGGTGCCAGAGGAGCTGGTTAGCTCACTATATCACATTCTCTTTTCTTCTACATATTAATTTTCTAATGCCAGTTCAATAATTTTTTTCTCATTGTTATTTTTTGCCCTGAAAAATTATTTCTTTGATCTGGATATGTTTTACTAGTAATAGTTTTTCTATTTCAGTTCTTGCCTTTGGACTATAGGATTGCCTCTTACTTTCCATTTGATTAGAGTATTTTGCAACAACCCAGTAAAGATCTTGCCTTAGATTTTCTTTCAGTGATTCTTCATATTCTTACTTCTGCAATTTTCTATAAGGGGCGATTTGACATCTCCGCCAGCTGTTCTTTGTTTTTTGTGTTTAGTTTTGTTTTGTTACTGGTGGTTCCTTTTTTTTTAATCCCTGTGTCACCGAATGTCTTACACTTTTTGATTCTTATGATTGAAATTAGGTGAATTGGTCAACATCCTAACATCTTTTTCACTAGTATTACTATTCTGTAGCTTCTGAAAATGTGATTAAAATAATATATTAATCTAGTCTGATTTAACTTACAAATTTTGTTAAATGGACTCTTGTCAACAACTTGTAACAAATTTAGTCTTCTATTATCTGTGTGAAGAAGAAAAGGCCAAGTGGTTGATGAAGAGATTTGCTGAACTTTCTCCCTGTGTCTAATTGGCTATGTTAGCTTTAATTATTAGTGGGCCTTTTTACCAAAATAAAATAAAATTAGTGGGCCTTAATAATGTTGTGCAGTTAAAAATTATCTCTTTAAAAGAGTGTGTGCTGTCATTTGACTTTCATCTTTTTACTTTTTCTACAGTGTGTTTGGATGGAACACTACCAGGTTACCACATCCATCGAGGTTATGGTTCTGGGGCAAACAGTTGGCTCGTTCAATTGGAGGTCTGCTAATAACTGCTTCATTGATTGAATTACACAGTTTCAGTTACTCATCTTTTAATGCTAATTTAATTGTCTCAGTAGTCAACTTTTGAATTGCATGTCTATGTTGTCTTTTCTGGTGTCTTTATTATTTGATCAGTTTTACTGGTATTGAGTTTCAGTTTCTTTTGATGTTTGTTACAAATAACCTTCTATATTAATTGCTTACTTTTTCCAGCCATATACATAAGTTATACGTTGATTATACACACATAATACATAAATTGTGCATATATGTCCTTCTACCGGCTATTTTAGTTTAAGCAGTTAGGTGGGCGGCTATTTGGGTTAATTCTTCATTTTTTTTTCCAAATTTTGTTTATGTTCATTTGTGCTTGTCAGTAGCAGAGTGCTTCTGTTGTTCAAATAGATGTTGGAGACAAGTTGTTTCTGATGTTGATGTTAGGTAGTTATTGCCAGCGTTTTAACATGATTACAGAATTTGTCTTCTTTCCTCTCTGGTATACTTTTCTAATGTGTGGGGAATGGAACTGTAGGCTTTTGAAAAAATATATTCCAGCTTTGCTTTTTCTATTATTGCTACAGATTCTAAAGCTCAGTGACTTCTTGTGGCAGGGTGGAGGATGGTGTAACAATATTAGAAGTTGCGTTTATCGCAAAAAGACAAGGCGGGGATCATCAAATTACATGGAGAAACAGATTCCGTTTACTGGGATTTTGAGTAACAAGGCGGAAGAAAATCCAGGTCCGTTTAGTTATTGCTATTCGACTGTTTCTTCTTTGAGATTGAGCATAATGTGGAGATTTCCTCTGTGAGCAGATTTTTATAACTGGAATAGAGTAAAAGTTCGCTACTGTGATGGTGCTTCCTTTACAGGAGATAGCCAAAATAAGGTTTGTAAGATCATACCCCATTTCTCTTTTTAGTTTGCACTAATCATGCAAGTGTGCTGTTGGTCTGAAAAAGTAAATGAATGAAAGGAAAATAAAAGCTGGAATATGTTACTTTTTCAATTTGCAACCACCATAATGGCTCCACACTGTTGTGCACTTTTGGATATTGCCTTTAATTTATCTTTTTGCTTCTTCACATTCTTCATGTTCTGGTATTCTTATTCCTTCATCTTTTGATTTAGAGTGGCAGTGCAGGAAAATGACACTTACAAAAGTAATACTCTTCTTTTCCGGGAAAAGAAGATAGTGGTCTTTTGGCTCTTTTTTTCTTTCTTTTTCTTTTAGCTCAATGTTAGTATGATTATAACAGAGATGAGTGTCCTTCAACTTTTTGGCATTTCATGTTGTTTTTCCCATACTACATGTTTCTGCTGAGATAGTTAAAGAGTAGAAACCTTTTGTCAAGACAGTACATGCTTCTACGGTTCTGCTTGTAGAAAGGCTTTACATGATAATAGTGAAAATTTTCGGGACCATTTATGGGTCCTGTTTGAAGGATGAAAATAAGCTTAAGCTAGAATTCCTGTTTAAATTTGATTACAGCCGCTTTGTAGCTCTTGCTGTTATCTGACTAGTGCAATGCTCAGAAGAATTTGACTAGAGGCTAATGAAATAAACATCCGCTCGATCCTGGTCCTCTGCAGCGAGGTGTCCCCTTGAATCTCACAATTAATATATTCTTGTTTTTTAACTAAATAACATGATTTCAATACAAATGATCTCAGTAGGTTAATCATCAGCAGTTTGTTGCTTCCATATATTACGAATTTAAAACTGAGAAAGAGTGAGAGGCATTATCCTATGAAATTATTAGGAGATATGACTGCATATAGTGCATTATATAGTTTCGAGGAAGAGATTGTTGGTTATTTGGTCGTCTGCAATAGTTGTGTTTAATTTTTTGACATTTCCCCAGGCTGCACAATTGCAATTTAGAGGCAAGCGCATATATGAGGCTGCAATGAACGAGTTAATGTCAAAAGGAATGCGATATGCCAAGCAGGTACAATCACAATGTTCACCTCTCATCTCATTTTCTTTAGTCGTTCATATTGTGATATCAGAATTTGTTTCTTAGGCTCTTCTCTCTGGATGTTCTGCTGGTGGTCTAGCTTCAATAATACATTGTGATGACTTCCGCAATTTGCTCCCACATAGTACTAAAGTGAAGTGCCTGAGTGATGCTGGATTATTTATGGACGCGTAATTTCCTATTCTTTACCCTTCAAATACTTCTTGAACTAAAAAATTTCTGCCCTTCGACTCTTGTTGTTAATTTAGTGAAATGATATAATGGTCATTTTTACAGAGTTGATGTATCTGGAGGGCGCTCCCTGAGAAATTTCTTTGGAGGTGTGGTTAAGTTACAGGTAATGAGCAATCTCATATTCTATATTGGTCAATTTCTTCAAGTTAACTTTTAGCAGCTTTGTCGAATGGTGTTAGTGTCTGAAGCATTTGTTTTCCCAGTAGATAAATTGTTCTCAATCTTTTATGAAATTAATGGAGATGCTTTATCGCTAATCCTGTCTATGCAACCTTGGAGAAATTGGGGAAAAGAATCAGACTCACGAAGCAATTTCAGCAAGATAGCTTGTCATTGTCCCACTCTAAAAATGTTTACCACCTAAATGATTCATCAAATAAAAAAAATCTGTTAAAGAAAGTCTCTTCTGAATTGCTGTATACCTTTGCTTCAAGCGTTGCTCAGCTGAAATTTTCCTGCTTTGTAACAGGGTCTTCATAAGACGCTACCAAGAACGTGCACCAACCACCTTGATGCAACCTCAGTAAGTCCCTTTCAATTAATTTTTTTTTTCCAGTATCTGAAGAGCTTCTTGTTTTCATAATAAAAGTTGTGTATTTTCCCATTTGCAGTGCTTCTTTCCTGAGAATTTAATCAACAACATCAAGACCCCACTTTTCCTGCTGAATGCTGCCTATGATTCCTGGCAGGTAAATTCTTAACTTCATGTTTGTTACTCTTCTTCTATTTGGACATGATTTTAAGTTTAATTTCGATACACTACCATTGTTGTCCGCTCTCTTTAAAATGATGGAAATCCACTCTACTGCACGTATTACAGCTTCAGGAAAGTTTGGCTCCTCGGGGAGCTGATCCTCATGGCGTATGGCACGATTGTACACTCAATAATGAAAGATGTTCTCCTTCTCAGATTCATTTTCTACAAGGTTAGCCCTGCTCAAGCAGTTAAACATTTTTCAATAGTTTGAGACCAGGAACTCACATGTTGCTAAATACCTATTGAACAGGTTTTAGGATTCATATGCTTAATACAATTAAAAGATTCGCCGCTGCAAGACAAAATGGTTTGTTTATAAACTCATGCTTTGCCCACTGCCAATCTGAGAGGCAAGATACATGGTTTTCCGATAATTCTCCCATGATTAATAACAAGGTACGCCTAAGAGCTTCGTTTATCCATCTTTCTTTTTAGTTTTTTTCTGTTATGCTATAGATTTTGTATGTACATTTGTATAAGCGTTGGTACTAACATGAGTATTGGAACAATATACAGCCGATTGCACTTGCAGTTGGAGATTGGTACTTTGATCGATCGGGTATGAAGGCGATAGACTGTGCATATCCATGCGATAGAACATGTCACAACCTGGTCTTTAGATGAGCGTTACGATCAAATTCTTTTTCTGCCAACAGCAGAAATATGTTATCATCTTGATAGTGAAATACCCCTTCCAATTAACTTAAGGTTTACACAAGTGTAACAAAGTTGATTGTAGAAAATAATGTCAAGCATTTATTCTCGAATGCATTTAGTTTAGTAATGCTCCACTTATGTCCTTCTTGGGCCAGTTAGAGCATGAGTTTGTTTTTTATTTATCATTTTATGTATCTACCCAAATTTATTGAATTGTAAAACAAATCAATCCAATGAAGTGCTAGCTTTATATCTTCATTTACTTGGACCAACAATGTTGTCGATTCATATCTCACTAGAAGCACCAATTTTCTATTTCTGTGGTTATTCGTTTTTTCTGGTAGTTCACACCATTGAATGTAAGGGATCGCCGGATTTACTATTTCTTTTATAGCTAGTATACCTAGATTATACAATGGTTATACACGATGATACATATTATACATTCAATGACTAATTTAAGTTTACGCAGCACTTGGGTAGACGGCTATTTAAGTTAATTCTTCTTTTTGGAATCCCTAGGATTGAGTTGGTTATTCTAAATAAATATACAATTAAATAAGCAAACAATTGAATAGACTAACGTGAAAGAAGATCCTCAGAGTTTATTACTACATAATAAAAAATTTCCAGATGAAAATCACAAGTGAAAATTTAAAAATTTGTAGTTGAACTCTAATCATTTTTGTGTATTTGCAACTTAGTTTGAGACATACATTATGCTTACTACAAGAGAAATACAGAAAGAAGCCATACAATGTAGCTTTCGACTTCTTTAGCATTTCTTCAATTTAATTAACATGTTGCAGACTTGCAGCCATGATGTGTTTTGTGGGCTCGATAGCTAGAGACGTCGTAAAAATAGCACGGTCTAGCCAGTTTTCGGACTGGTCATTCCAAAATAGCCAGCGTTTACCAAGTCAATGAAAAATAGCCACTATTTTGCTGCAATAGAGACCGGTCCAGCATAATATATTGGAGTTCGGTGCACCTGTGTATGAACTTCCAGCATATTATGCTGGAATTCCAACACACGAAAAGTTCTAGCATAATATACTGGAGATTCGAGAACTTGTGTATGAACTTCCAGCATATTATACTGGACCGGTATACTTTGCTAGAACTCTAGTATATTATGCTGGAGTTCTAGTGTACTTATGCTGGAACTCCATCATATTATGCTGGAGTTCCAGCATGCTTATCCTGGAACTCCAGTATAATATGTTGGAGATCAAGTATACTTATGCTGGAACTCTAGCATAATATACTGGCGTATTTTTCGGATTTTGAACAGTGTTTTCGCTCAGATTTATCTTTACATGAAAAGTGGCTAAATTTCGATTACTTTTGAAACTGGGCTATTTTTGAACGACCACTTGTAAATCTGTCTATTTTTTAATTTCTCCTAGAGGCGTCAGACGCGTGAGAAAGAAACTTAGGATCGAGAAGACACTTTTCTCTAACTTCATTCTTTTAAATGCAATTAGTCAATAGTACGCGCATTGCGCGTGTACCTTGTTTAGATGAGTAAAAAGTATTTAAAACATTAAATAAATATTTTATTTAAAATTATGTTTTAATTATAAAATTAAAGTGTAAGTCTTGAAAACGAAGAATATTGAACTCAATAAGGGCAAATAGTTTCACAAATAAGTTCTAAATCACGGTAAATATATTGAAAAAGAAAAAAAATCATATGTCAATATACAAAGACTAAACTATACTAATTTATCGCGGTTAAGTATTAAAAAAGATGAAAATATTTATTAATTAATTATGATTTAGTAATAATATTAAATATAAAGACTGGTATCATAAATATAATTTGTGTTATAGTATTATAAAGCATATTATTTTTATGCTTAATTACCAGACCTATAATAACTACGTAAAATGAAGTTCTGTGTATACATAGACTAACGTAGAATATAAGAATAATACTGTTTTAAACAAAGGGAATCCTTTCCTTATTTGAGGTAAATTGTGAAGTGAATTTAAACTCCTAACTATTAGGATCAAATCCAATAAGCAAAGATATAATAATCAAAATTTAGTTGATTTCAAAGTCCTAAATATTAGGAAAATAATTTAAATGAATATTTTGTCTAACGTAAAATCTAATTTTAAAGGGTAAAAAAGGCGAACGATATTTCGCTAAGAGCTTCGTGCTTTTAATATAGTATAAAATAAATATAGATAGATAGATATAGATAGATTATATGTATGCAACACATGAAACTAATTCAGCAGTAGAAGCTGAAACAGTAAGTACATCAAAGGTCATGCTATAAACAAGATTGTTCTGACATCTAATTTCACCCGGTAGTCAGTTTTGACCATATTATTTAAGCTATATTCATTTTTTCCAAAATATTTAATATGTAGCAAGGCCGCAGGGACGGATCTAGTATACTACATATATGGGGCACTCCTAATGCAAACTTCAGACTGGCCCTTGGCAACCAAATTTCGGAAGCCTAATTTTGCAACATCGATCGTGTATGCCTAAAGTTGGTTTCAAAGTGGCTAAACTAGCAAATTTGTATACACTGCGCTTATTGCTTAAATAGTGGTCCCAAAATTGGCTATTTGTGCACTTGTCCCAGTTGTGACTATACCTTATTCCAAATTTTAATACCAAGAAATTTAGGAAAAGAATTGTTGAAGGCGTAGAAGGCATTGGTAGTTTATATTAGCAATTCAGCGTACGTCAATATTCAGACCGGCAAAGACTAGCTAAAACTCGTCGGGCTATTGTTAAGACTTGTATAATTATGCTGATATGTGTTAGTTGTATAGTTAGTGATATAAGTTATTTGTAATTAAGTAGAGTTAGTTGAGTAGTTAGTGGCCAGCTCAGCATTAGTTGTGTCCACACGTGTATATACTTAGAATAGTAATGAGAAAGAGTAAGCTTTCCATTTTACGTTTCTGTTCTCATCTCTCATGAACCTCTCATAGAACTCTCTAGAAGAACTCCATTGGAGCTCCAGATCGAGCTTCAAGCTCATCTTCAAAGTCAGATTTTAACATGGTATCAGAGCAAGGGGAGCTTGATAATAGGCTATAATTACGTATTTTAGTCGATTATTACACTCTAATTTACTGCACTTTAGTTGAGTTTGCGCTTTAATCGCTAGTGTTTTACACTAATGGTGTGTTTTATGCCTTGTAGGAGTGATTTCGAGCTATGTAGATGTTATGGAATGAATTCAAGTGATTTGTATCTTTGAAGTCTGAGTAAAATCCCAAGGAATTAAGCCGGGATCGTGTTTGAGGGTCAACGGATGATAGTTAGAGCGAACAAAGACTCCAGTAGGCATATTGCGCACTGTCTAGTAAAATAGATATAACGTTTTGCTCAGAACTCCATTTGGGCTTCACAATATATGGTTGGAAAGCTAACTCAAAGGGCTACAACTTTCAAGTTTTACGTTTTTCCAAATTCGAAACGAAACAGGGTGCAAAATGCTCGTCAATAGCGCAATCGCGCTCAGGTCGCGCTCGTTAGGCAGAACACTGGGCCACTAGCGCGACCATGATCGCGCTAGTCAAACCCAGGAAAAGTGTCCTTTTTCACATTGGAGAAGGTATAATTGTTTGGGCCCAACCCTACTTGGTATCTATACATGAAAAAACGGTATTTTGAAGAAAGAGGACGTTTTTGAGAGGAAAACACAAGCACAGAGCCGCCGTGGAGGCCGGGTTTCATCTTTTCTTCCACCAAACTTAGTAATTTTTATGTTTCTTTGTATGATTTGTTGTTTTGCTACCATGTCTATGTGGAGCTAAACTTCACGTTCTAGGGTTGTGGTTCTTTCATGACTATTGTTATTCGGATATTGATTTTGATTGCTTAGTTTATCATATTGATTTATTTATTTAATCCTGCACTTAATTATTTGATTGCTTGATCACCAATTGAATACTATCTACGAATCTTGAATTGAACTCGAAAGTGAGAATTCTAGATTGCATATAGGATTGAGTTGAGCAAGTTCTTGAACCTGGGCATCGGGGAATGGATTTGCGATTAGGATAGACATATACCTAATTGCCTTGCTTGGTTGATTTACAGGAATTATAAATGCATTCTTGTTGATTCTAACTCCATATACATATAGGCGTTAGGTTAGCTTGAATAGGCGAGTAAGAACTCGACAGATTCTTATGAGCAATATTAACCCTGTTAACCAATAAACTAGATAAATTAGTTAGTCAATTCAATTGAAGAATACAATAGAAATGTTAGATAGCCCATAACCCTAGATCGTTTTCATTACATTGATATCATAAAAATCTGCTCTTCCTCTGTTCAAAGTTCATTATTTATATTTTTTTATATTAATTAGTTTAGAATAAAATATTTCTAGGTTTAATTCTTGTTTAGATAATTAGGATAGTCTAATTTAGTTAACAGTTAATCACAAGTCCTCGTGGGTTCGACATCCGACTTTTAGTTACTTTATTACTTGACGATCGCGTATACTTGCGTGTGCGTTTGGCCGCAACAAGTTTTTGGCGCCGTTGCCGGGGACTTAGAAATTAGCTACTTGATTGAGTTAAGCTTTTATTAGTTATTTGTTCAAGCTTTAATTTTCAGTTTACCTTGTTTGTGTTAACACAGGCTCTTCTCTTGAATGCGGAGGAGTAGAAGCGCAAACAATCTACTTCCCCTTGATCCTGAGATTGAACGAACACTTCACAGAGTGGGGAGGGAAGTAGACGCAAGAACCAGAATTGAAAGAGAGTTGGACATAGTAGTCCAACCACAACCAATAGAGATGGCAGGGAATGAGGAACGCGTGGTGATTGAAGCCGCAAGGCCCAGTCTTGCTAACATGACTCAGGCTATTGTGAAGCCTGATATCACATGGCACTTTGAACTCAAACAATACATGGTGCAACTGATCCAGTCCACAGGGCAATATGTGGGTCTACCTAGTGAAGACCCGCAGAGGCACATTCAGAATTTCTTGGAAATCACGGACACTTACAATTATCCAAATGTTTCCAAGGACTATGTCAGGCTGACACTTTTCCTCTTTTCACTGCTTGGGGACGCTAAGGAGTGGTTGCAGAAGGAGCCCGCAAACTCAATCCGCACGTGGGATGATCTAGCAAGGAAATTCTTAATCAAGTTTTTCCCCACTAAGAAAACAAAGATATTGAGGAGTCAAATTCTTGGGTTCGAACAACGAGATGGTGAGACACTTCGTCAAGCATGGGAAAGGTACAAGAAGATGCTCAGAGACTGTCC